AATTATTCAAAGATAAAACACTTTTTGAACCTAAGATATGTGACTTGATAAGGATTAGGTTGACTTAGTGGGTCGAATCTATCTAAGAGGACTTTAACATGCACATAACAAGTGAGCTTGCTTTAGTTATCAATAATGTTGGTACTGAAAGATGACCACACTGTGTGTCAAAACCTAATGATTGGACCTCCTAAAAGTGGAGAAACGCAATTTAATATTAACATATATGTTTAGGGTAAGCCTTAGTAAACAGAAATGGGGAGTTACCTAAGAGATCACAAAAGGAAAATCAATGTTTTGTTTTCGAAGAGCATTGAAATTCAACATTCCAATTCGATATAACTCCTGACAACTCTCGAGGTGATTGAGATTATCTCCAAACACAACAATGTTTGTTCCACAGAGGCCCATCTAAAAGTGACTCATAAATGGTGGCTTCTTGGGTAAACTATAACCTTATATTGTGGGGGCTTAATAATGTTGCAAGCAAAATTACTTATGGCATTGAGAACCTCATAGTAGTTTTGGTGGTTCATACAAATAGGGAGAAGAAAGCCTTTGTGGACGCATTAGTTAGTGGATGTATTAGTTTGTAGATGCATTAGTTTATTTCGGGGGGAGGGGGGGAATGTAATATCCTAATTTTTTCGATTTCTTTACTTTGTGCATGATAAGAGTACTAGGCATGCATATGTATATAGAAATGCATTATAAGACTATAAATCAAAAATTGAGAAATGAAAACGAAGGGAAATTTTGGTTAAGGGAGAAAACATCACCCGAATGAGAGATTTTTTCCCAAAAAAGGAAATTGATTTGTCCCAAACTTTGAAATTGGTTTCCAAACCTTAGATGAGATCTTAAGACATTTGAAAACATTCTAATGGAGTGAGGAAAAGCATTAAAGTGAAAAGAATGAGAGAAAATGAAACCTAGGATTATAGGGAACCCTAAATCCCCTAGTTGAGGAAAAAAGTGCCCTTTTGGGGCTAAAATGCTTCCCAAGCCCAAAACTGGTAAAATTTGATACTAAAATATTGGGAAACGATAGTTAACATATAAAGGAAGAATTTTGTAAATAAAGTAAAAATTTTAAAGCTAGAAAAATGAGAGAGATTCGAAGATTATGAAAGTTATTCCTCGAGAAAATCCTAAATTAACCTTTTTGGATTAAAATCCTTCCCAAGGCTAAAATATTTAGAATTTGAGGCTCAAATTCGATGGAGTGAAAGCTAACACATAGGAAAAAGAAGTAGTAGGGAGAGAAAAGTTTTTGAGGAAGAAAATATGAGAGAAAAAGAATAAAACCCACAAAGAAGAAAAAAAGAAATCCCCTGGGTAGCAATTATCCATTGAATTTCCTTTTGCCTCCAATTTTCCTCTATCGATATGTCTTAAAATTTTTGGGGATGTGTGTAAATGATTGGGGCATACAAGTAGCTGAATGAAAAAAAAAAAAGAAAAACATAAAGGTTGGGGCACCGGGTATGGGAAGAGAGAAATAAAGAAAGCATGAGGTGGCATGCTTGGAAAACATTGTGGTCATTTAGATATATACATACACCAATACATATAAAATATATAT